GCGGCCTTGCTGTACGGGCAGAGCAGATCGATGTACGTCTCTAGTTGAACTTTGGCTGACCCGCTGCCTCGCCCGATAGTTAACCCCGGTGGCTCGCCTGGAATAGGCACCTGGGCAACACCCACACGCAGCAACAAGGCAGTAAACACAAGCAACAACTTCGACATTAGTCAAGATCTTGGAAAATGACAACCAAAATTCGGATACGATTGGGAAAATCTGATTCTGATTGGCGGTTTTCATTTACCAATCAGGAGTCGAAATAGTTTTTTTTTTCAACTTGATTGGGATCATTTTGCCGAAGATGGCAGTCTCGATAGTCTTTGCGCGCTTCCTCTTGTTGTGTATGACACTTTTTGGGATATCTAATGCCCAGCGAATCCCTCGGCGTCCACCTGGATTCACACTCGGAAGCGGCAGTGCTGACGCCGGCGTGCAGCTTGAGTCGTACATCGACTTGGTAAGATATCTTTCTGTGCAAAATAAATATCCTTTTGCTAATGTCATTTATGCTTATGCTTGTGGCAGTTGTGTCCGGATAGCAAATCAGCGTACCCAGGACTGAAGAAGCTGGTGGAACATTATCAAGCCAATGAACTTCGTGTCTGCTTGGTGCTATTCCCTTTGCCGTATCACCAACACGCATTTGCTACTGCGGAGGCGGCATTTACGATCACGACGGCTTTGGGAGACAAGAGCTTCACCACATGGCTCGAAACAATCTACACGAACCAGGACATGTACGTGCTCTGTCTAGAATGGAAATACATCGTCTGATTCATTGCGTTTAGGCTGACTAATTATTTTACTTGCAGATTCTGGAACAAGGCGACAAAGGATCTGAGTCCCGTGCAAGTGGTGAAGAAGCTCAAGAAGCTGGCTCAAAAAACGTTCCCGTCGCTGACGGACAAGCAGTGGGACGAGCAGATGACGGGATATGGAAGAACGGACGTGGATGACCACACTCGTGAATCCTGGAAGTACACATGCTCCAGAGGCATGTCCGGCACGCCCATGTACACATTGAACGGCGTCCCTTTTGAGGCTGGCGCAGACTGGACCTTTGAGCAATGGTACAAAGTTATTGACCCGCTGGTGAAAGCCAACAAACCTGCTCTGGAGTTGCAAGCTCAAACCCAGGTGTGGAAAGATGTCCATCTGAGTGGAGTTCCACGTGCTCAGCCAGATCGAGATGTTATGCACCTTGTGAGTGCTGGCGAGTGGGCTACTACTGCGCAAGTGTGCGAAGGCATTGCTGCTGGAACGAGAGCGTGTGAGTTTGCACCCGGTCGTGCGATGTGCTGCCAACCTGACGAAGCCTGTATTCTTCGCGAAGGTTGCGTGCTATTGCAGTGAGACAACGAGATTCATGCAGTCAAGATGCAGTATAACGAGTCGTGTACAAGCATTGGGAGATGGCGTGCGAACCATGCGTTGTTACTTTTATTTTTTTCAAGTGCAATGACAGCATCATCGTTTTCTTACCAGTTCTGAAATTTACATCTCGAAATGAATCAACTTTCTTAAGTTTACTAATCGTGTTTGCTTCGGTTTCTTCATCAATGCCAGTAGTTCATAGTAGTGTTTCAAATGCACGTTCGTCGGGCTTTTGCCCACTCAAGCAAGAAGCTTTTACGAGCTTCATACTCAATTACTTGCATCCCTCTTGCAATGCCGAGCCTAAACCACAACTTGTCATTCGGACTCTTCCCCTGCATACAACCGACACCAATTCTCGCTAATGTGTACATGTATCTATATGAAACATGGTTCATTGTGTGGGGATGGCACGCGTAATACATGTTGAAGATGATCGGCGAGGAACCTGAAAACGAATGTCAATCATTCTCTACTAGCCAAAACTGTATCAATTTATAGAATACCTCCCTATACGAATCGTAAATTACGACGGTCTCCGCAACGGAATGGATGTCCTTCAGCATGCTGCACTAGGTGCCATCGTGACCGGAGGTGGTATAACAGCGGCGCAGAGTCTTCTGTCTCGGAGGGTCAAGCCCCCTAGTTCGTTAGCGCTGTCACTTGGGAGCTTCGTGGGTGTCTTCCGGCTGCTGGAAGGAACGGGGCGAAAGCTATCGGCTCGAAACAGGCAACGCTCCGTCAGTGCGTCTCAAGCAGCGGCAGTTGCTGCGGCAGTGGCGCTTACTCTGCTAGAAGCCGATCGGAAGACTGTCGTGGTTTCGTACGCTGTCGTAGAGGCGGCTTTGGTCTTGATAAAAGAGCTGACCACACTTGCAGACGTAAAGTACATCGGTAATCACGTGCTACTAAAACACCTCTGCAATGCTGAGCTTAGTAGACTGACCATTGTGGCTCGGTTGTTTCTTTTGCGAGTAGATATACCGACGGGGGCATTGGCGGCAGGACCACTGATTGATTCATGGATATACCAGAGCGACGCCATCGCCAAGTCGCAGTTGGCTGCGCTCGACAGCTTCTGCCAATTGCCATCGAGTGTACTGCGCCGCATGCGAGACGAAATACCGTCCGGGAAACTGGTATCACGCTGCGATGTGTTCCATCGCGGTCGAACATGTGCGCAGTTCCACCGGGACTACTTCATTAAGGGCATGAAGTTCGCCATTCGACTGTACGTGCCCATTTACGCTGTGTCGGTGCTCGCCCCCAAGTACAAGCGGTGGATTTGGGGCCCACGACCGGAGTTGATTCCGTTGCTCGTGCGCTACCTTCGCACGTGTTGTTGCCTCACAATGTTGTATCAAGTTCCGCTCGGCTTCTCGTGTTTGTCGCCGAGTGATCGACATCGTGCGACCGTCAGGATGGCCGGCGCGCTCACCACGCTGGCGTTTGTCGCCGAGCATGAACACCGGCGGGGCAGCGTCATGAAGGCCGTAGGCGTCTACAGTACGGGCGCCGTAGCTGCTCGAATTGTAGCCGCGCTGGGCGTGTCACCCAAAGCCGTGAAGCTGGGCCAGCTTGTGCTGCTGTCGGCTGCCATGACCGTGATCTTCCGGCGCACGACCCCGGACTCGTCTCGCATGACACGAATGCTCTACGGGTACAGTGACCGGCATACATGTACTTCAACGGAGGACGACGCGCGCGCCGCCAAGCGATGAGCAAGGGCCAACCAACAACCGTGAGCTAATGAGCTCGACTAATATGCTGGCGGGCAGCATTCGAGGGGCGGACCGAGCCAACTCGGAGTTCCCATCTACAAAGCTCTAGACCCCTTCTTTCCTCCTCCTCACAACACACGACCCCACGTCGTACACCGTTAGCCCGATCTGTGATCGCTCCATCGACCACAAAAGCAAAAACTCGTTGCGTTGTTGGAGAGCGGTTCGAACGCTGCTGTTTCTTAATGTGCATGTACAGCATCTTCCAGACCAATTACATGTTGCTACTTAAGGCAGGAAGAGCTGTAGTTGCAGTGAAGATAAGGTGCCCTAGTCGGACACCGGGAGCTGATCCAGGCGAGGAGCAGCTTGCAGGGACAACGCTTCTGCGGCTGAGCTGCTGCATCGAAAGCTGATTCGGCCATGGCAGTGAAGACGGGTACAGTGGCATCTGCTGAGGAGAACCACGCAGCCGTGGCACTGCAAGGGTCCTAATGTCATGCCACTTGTCAAGGAGGCTTGTCAGTGCCCATTCTAGAGTGTAGCAGGTAGTCTGCAGGATTCATGTAAGCAGCAACAAGT